CATTAATGACGACATTACAGCTATGGGTTATCGCTTTCCTCGCACGATATGGACATATATGCATGTGTATTGAGTATTAAACATACTATATTAACAATTAATGCTTTCATGATTGACAATTAACAGTTAATAGTTTATATTTCCATCTATCCGTACTAGTATTGTCATGAATTTACATACCTTCATGACTTCATATGATTTTGTCTAATTTTTTATATTTATTATTGAATATGTATTAGTTAGAAATTTAAATGATATCTTTATTTGTTATTATTAATGTTGTTTTCTTAACCATGATATTGTATTTTAATAATTAATTTTTTTTATAAAGGTCGTTCATATGGCACAATCGGATGGTACTAGTAATAATGTTGCTACATCTATGGAAGATGATAATAACCCTCTTTGGAAGTCTGTTATTAAAGGTCGAAAAATAGGAGGATGACGAAATATCAAGTGACAATACAATTCTTGTCATGAAGAAAAACATAGCAGTTATACAAGAGTTAGGGATTATTTACTTAAAATTCGCAATAAAGGAATTGGAGGTTGTAAGAATGTGAAACCCACTAATATCGCTGAAATGCAAAAAAATGGAGGAAGAGGTTAAAAACTAAGCCCGAAGTTTTGAACTAAAGAATGTACCATTACCCCCTAGTGTTTAAACCTAATCACAAAACATTACAATTCAAGAGACTTTGAATTCAATTCAAAGAAAAGAAAGACAAACGAGAGTTCAAAACTATTTTTAAAGCTTTTAACATGCAAGCTTATGATAGATTACATGCTAAGAGTGCTAGAATGTTCTGTACGACAAGTTTACCCTTTAATCTAGCTAAAAATTCATACTTCATTAGTTCTTATACGTTGTTGTTAATTCTAGATTGAGTATTTATTTGCCTCCAGGATATAATCTATTAAGAACTACTTTACTCCAACAAGAGAAGGCTAATGTTGAGAGATTACTTGAGCCTATCAAAGGCTCTTGGGTAAGAAGGGTGTTACTATTGTGTGTGATAGTTAGAGCGATCAAGAACGAAGGCCATTAATTAACTTTATTGCTATTAATGAGAGTGGTCCTATGTTTATTAAAGTTGTTGATTGCTCAAATGAGGTAAAGGATATATATTTTATGGCTAATATAATAAAAGAGTCCACGGATGAGGTTGGGCATGAAAATGTGGGTCAAGTTATTACTCATAATGCAAAAAACTATAAGGATGCAAGTGAAATAATTGAAGGGATGTCCCATATTTATTGGACATGATATGTTGTTACTCTTAATCTAGCTTTGAAGAATATTTGCCCTACAAAAAATGTTGAAAGCAATCAACAAACCTATGAAGAATGTAGCTGGATTATAGAAATTTATGGAGATGTTTATGCAAATTAAGCACTTTATTATGAATCTCACAATGACATTGGCAATTTTACAATAAGTTTGTCTCCTTAAAATTGCTTTCAGTTGTAGAAACACGTTTAGTGCCTATTATTTTGATGCTTAAGAGATTTACACTAATTAAGCGTGGCCTTCAAGGATGGTTATTAGTGAACAATGGTCTTCTTATAAAGAAGATATTGGGGTAGGGCTAGATTTGGAAAGGAAAATGTGTTAGATGATATTTGGTGGGACAAAATTGATTATATTCTTTCATTTACTGGGCCTATATATGAGTTTTTTTGATTGACTGGGCCTATATATAATAAGATTAGAGCTTCTGATACTGATAGACATTACCTTCACTTGGTCTATGAGATGTGGGATTCAATGATTGAAAAAGTAAAGATGACAATGTATCAAGAGGGAAAGTCAACAATTGGAAAATGTCATCTACATTTTATAATGTAGTTTATGATATACTCATCAATCATTGGACTGAGAATAATACTCCTCTTCAGTGTTTAGGTCATTCATTAAATCCAAGGTAATATTAAATTTATAATTTGTAATGTTCAAATTTTTGTGCTTGCAATTGTTGCAATTTGATATTACTTGTCTTTTTAAGGTACTATTGCGATATATGGCTTCAAAAAATTTCAACTAGAGCTGCTCCACATAATAATGTTGAAATCTCCAGGGAAAGGCAAAATGCTTTAAAATATTATTTTCAAATCCTAAGGATCAAACAAAGGTAAACACTGAATTTATTAATGGAAAATTTTGCAGATTCAAATTATCTAAATGACAGATTTACTATATAGAAGCAAAGTGTTGGTGGGCAATTCATGGTGCGAGTGGGCCTCTACTTTAAAAAATAGCATTCAGATTGCTTGGTCAACCGTCTTCTTCATCATGTTGTGAAAGGAATTGGAGTATATATTCATTATCAATTCTGTGAGAAGGAATAAATTAGCTCGAAAACGTGCTGAAGATTTGATTTTTGTTCATAGTAATATTTGACTTCTATCAAGAAGAAGCCCCCAATATTATATTGCACAAACAAAAAATGTGAGACATTATAAGGGATCAATTTGATTTTTTTAAAGATGTTGAAATTTTTGAAATTGCCAATTTATCTCTAGATGAACCAGAGATAGAAGCGATGATTGTTAATGATGATATTATTGCTGAGGATTTAACTAACGATGTTGAAGTGGAAAATTAAATATTTTTTATTTTATATTTATCACTTATTATGGATAGTTATTTACATATTTAATTTCTTAATAAATTATGTTTTTTTTAGCATAAAGTGTCTTGAGCATGTCGTGTCCTATTTTTTTGAAATATTATCGTGTTCCGTGTCCATGTCGTGTCCTATATCCGAGTCCATGAAACCTAGAGTATAGATATAGATAGATAAAATTTATTATTATATTTTATTTTAATTCATAAAAATCATTTTAATAAAATTATTAATTTTAAATTATTTTTATATAATATTTAATCAAATACTGGTTCGATCCGGTTTGACCCTCTAATCCTTAACCCTCAACCTTCATTGGATCGATGTTCGAATCAAGTTTGAAAATCTGGACAAATCTCCAAAGTCTCTTAAACTCTCATATTTTGAAAAAGGGATAATGTTATTTTTGGTGTCTAAACTTTTTTTTTTTTTTTTTTTGGTCCCTAAACTTTTTTTTTTTTTTTTTTTTTTTTTTTTTGTGTCTGAAAGAAAAATAGTATTAATTGAATGCCTAAATTTACATTTTTTTTTTTCAATTTGGTGTCTCCTGATAAAGTGAATCGTCGGATTGACTAATAGGATGAAGTGGGGCTCACAATTACCTAAGTGTCCGCTTACATGGCCCGACAATTAATCCATGTAAACAGTCCAACGTGGTAAAGAGGGTTAAAAGGATCAATCTTTCTCATTTCATCTTCTAATTTCTTCACAGAATCATCAAGCTTGGATAATCTCAAGCTAGCATCTTTTAACCTTTGATGCCTCTTTAAGATACTCACCGATTGTTTTGGGGACATAAACCAAGCTCAAATACAAACTTAGCTCCATTTCCTTTTTGGATTCTCTTTTTAAATTTTTATTTTCAAGATTTCTTCTCTGTTTTAGGCTAACATTGCCCAAATAAACACGCTAATCAACAGCGGAGAAAGAAAAAAAATTCATCTAAATATATATATTTGAAAATTTGAAATTGGTTTGGGGAGTGGATTTAGTGCTTTGAAATGTTTGGATATCGCACACACATTGGGAGTTGTGATCATTACTCTTAGCTATCCGCCAATGAGTTGTGTAATAGGAGAAGCAAAAGAGGGGCTTTTTTGCCATTCAAGACAATTGAAATGACTGAAAGGAAGGAGGAGAAGGAGGTCATGCCTCAAGTTACTGGATTTTCCCTTATTGCCAAAGTTCTAACTGCTTATATGGATTAATTGTCGAGCCATACAACCAGACACGTAGGCAAATATGAATCTCACTTCATCAAAAATTACCAAATAGAAAAAAAATATAAATTTATGCACTCAATTTTCACTATTTTTCGTACGTACACCAAAATAAAAAAAAAAAAAAAATGCAAGTTCAAGCACCAACTTTATCCCTTCGAAAAACCTTATAAAACCTCTTATATCCTCCCACATGACGATAACAATCTATATCATCTCCTTCCTTTTCTTCTCGCTTTTTCAAACAAAAAAAATTTTTGATTTTTTGCGTGAATTTGGAAGAATTGGAATTTTTTTTTTTCATACTAATAAGATATTTTTTCACTTTTTCCCCTATACTATAGTAGTCAAAGTCACTTGAGTGAACATAAAATGATGAATTTCAATATTTAGGTATTACAGAATATATATTGTTTTGAAAAAAAAAAAAGTGAGACTAACAATAGTATTAAATCAAATCTCAAGAGGCAAATAGTAATTTATCTAAGATTCTGAGTGTTCAAAAAACTGTCCAGACTGATTCAAACCCATTCAAAACCATGGTTTTAAAAAGTCGAGTAGTTCAATTCGGTTTGTGAGATGTAAAAACCAATCATTTTGTTCAACCTATGTACAAATCATACATGGTCGAAACTATATATTTTTATTTTAATAATAAATATAGAAATAAATCAACATTTATATTTTATATCAATAAACTACTTAATGTTAAATTGAATATATAACTTTTTTTTTTTTTTGGACACCACTCAATATAAACGTAAAAAAATTAATCAAAAACTTAAATAATTACTTAAAATCATGTCATAGTTTATATTTATGCATTTTATATCTTTAACATAGTATTAATCCCTTTTCTTTGTCTTATTAACTAAATAAATGAGGAAACTTAATTTCTCTTCTTTCAAAATGAACCAAACCATCACTAAAGGTTTGATTGAATTTCAATTATTTCCAAACCGCCACTTTAATGTGCGTTTGATTATTGCTTTAAACGAACCAAATCAACTCCCGAGCGTTCCTGCACCGGAGTCCTTGCCTTTTACAAAGAAGCAAACAAGTGTTGAATTAAACAGATAACGGTTTTACCTTAGCCCTAAGTCTTATTAACACAAGGGTTCTATTTTATTGAAGGCATGCACACAGAGCAACAAAAGATGAATTTGTTTCACTTTCTTTTAATTCAACAATATAAATGTTTTTTTTATGTATTTTCATTCTTTTCAGAAGAGATCAACCATCATATAATGCCTCTTCAATTTGGACTTTATGCAATGACCTTCAAGGTCAAATATTGTCTCAAGAAAACTACAATAGAAGGAAGTGCTGTTTGCTGCACCTCATTGTAAATGCAAATGGAGTAATTAGAGTGAGTTGCTCTTTTACCTCCTTTAAGCATCAGAGAGAGGATATGCAACTTCTTTTTACCTAGTTTCTGGCAGTCCTATTCATTGAATGTAGTCTTCGTAGTAGTTGTCACTAATTACAGAGACAAATCTCTCGAGCCAAGGAAGCTGATGAAGATCCTTCATGGCATCTACGTATGAGTCTGTACAACGGGGAGGGGACTGATAAGGGTGATGATCGCTCAAACTGAAACCCCCAGCAAGAAATCTTTGGATCAATGCAAGTTGCGATCTCTCTTGCTCTGAGTAAGCATCCATGAGCATAGGTAGTGAGTTAAAAGTCTCCCATGCCCACTGTTCTGATTCTTGCACAGACTGTGTAACCAAATCTTCAGCGTTGTTTTCATCCCAAAAGGCACATTGACAGGTCTGTTGTCCATCTCTGTATTCGGCACCACAGGAATAACAGAACTCATGCCCACACCTGCAAAAAGGAAGCAGAGTTTTTTTCCTTAGGAACATCAAACCATGTTGTGATAGGAAGTTGATTGCAGCAACATCTTCACTCTGAATGGTCACCAACAACCATGGAATAACTCACTAGTGCACAAACAATGCAGGACAGAAGCAAATCAAATGATACAATTAAAAGTGGACAATCTTATTATCATTTCTAGTAATATTAGGCTGTACTTGTGCAGAATAATACTTTATTGATCCCAACCAAAATCAAAAAACAAAGAGCTGAGCATAGAATTAACCAATAATTACTCCTCAAAACTCTCTTTTAGAATATCTTGATGGACAATCAAGTATATTTTGTGAACATTTCATATTTAGGTTTCAGAAATGAGGAAATTAAGCTTAGCTTTCATAAGATGAGGTAAATGAACATCCAAAAAAAAAAAAAAACAACACAGGAAACATGCTGGCATGTATCTTTATTTGCTATATGGAGATACACAAAGCTCATGAAGCAGAAGACATGCAGTAGGCCAATGCTTGTCCCTAAAATGGGGGTAAAAAAGAACCATTTTGGATGAAGAAAAGAAAGATGTTTTCAATCTTCACTAAACAGGGACAAACCACCTGAAAGTGAGAAGGGAAGCCCAACACCAAATTTGAACAGAATTTATTACAATCCCCATATTCCTATTGAGTAGCCATGCAACTCACATGATTATGAGTTATGACCCATTGATGCCCTTTCTTATCAACTAAGCCTCAAGCTAAGTGGAATTGATAATATGAATCATTTTCCTTCATTCCATCCACAAAGATCAAGGGCTGCTAATTCCTTTTTTTTTTATTTTTTCTTTTACTACATCATCTGAAATCTGCCTTGCTTTCTTTTCCTACAGTTTCAATATAGACAACCTTGCTAATATATTCCTCAATCTATGATGCACAAGTCCAAATAATTTCAATCTCCCCTCTCAAATTTTCCTTAATACGTCTCCACCAAGAAAAAAAAAAAGAAGACAAGAAAAGAAAACAATTTTGCAACCCATATAGAACCTTTTCCACTGATTACTCCAGTAGAAAGCCATACTCTTCACTAAATCTCCGTATCTCTTTTTAACTCTTCCATACCTTTAATTTATATCAAATAGCATGTCCAGAGTTGTGTATTCTTTGGCATTGACTAAAATCAACTGAATAATCCTAAATCATTGTCAGCTGTCAGCCACATCTTCTAACATGTACAGTTATTGAATATCCTCAGCTGATCCTAGCTTCTTTAGGATGTGATTTAGAGACCATAGGGTCATTACCCCTTACACGATGAATTGAACTTCAATTTGAAAGTAAAAATCTAGGATGGTTATGCTGCTCTTGGCCATATAACAGACCACAGAAACACAAATCTTTATTCAATTGCCATGATCTAGCATGCTTCTACAAATCAGATACTGTGTACATGTCGAAAGGCAAGAGTCAGAAACCAAAATCACATATCATCATATTGTTATTTAGATTATATATTGGATTAAAAATGCTATTGAATTTTAGTGTGTCTGTGTCATGAAAAGAAATATCTTCAATAACTTTCCATCAACAAATTTGGCACCTAAAATCCATTTCTGTAATGCCTAGACAGACCATTTTCCCAAGGAATTGTAGATTGAACAACTTGCTTTTGCATGTAAGGCACAAGTGCATACAATTTAAATTCTTACAACAAAGAACATTTATGGAGGCTGCTAAAACTCCAAGTTGACAATGATAAAATGCATCTTAAAACATGAACATGTGGTGGACGTTGCACCACACAAATGTGGAACGACAATTTGAGAACAAATATATGGGTGCAGTTGTGCAAAATGTAGAAAATCATATTTTGAAAAAACTAAAACCTGTTTCAGATTTATCACAAGAATAAATATCATATACGATAAAATACAATCATGAAATGCCATGAAAATAAAGAAACAAAATATTGAAGAGCACTTCATTACAATGTAACAAGGAGTGGTCTGAAGGAGAAGATATAGGAAAAAATAAATAAGTAAAAGAACAGAAGCATGTCTATGTTGAAAGTAAATATTTAACTAAGGATTATAGATAAATTAAATTGTGTTTGGGGAAGGTGATTTCAGAATTTTGCTAAAAGTGGTGAAACTACTAATAAAAATTAGTGGGGAGACAGAGAGAGATAAAGGTTAAAGACAATAAATATTTTATTCTTTTGACTATTATGGATCTTTCTAGGTGTGTAAGCTTTATTACTTTCAAGAGATTTTACAGAGTTAATAGTCATAATAACTCAAAATTCTGGGTTTTCAAATGACCATTTACCAACCAACATTAAGCTTTTGCTTTTTCTTTCTCCTTTCTCTTTTTTCGGCATTTCTAGAACTAGGGATAAAAGCCTGTTCAAACTCCCTTACAAGGTGTTAGGGGGGATGACATTTGATCAGTCAAATTGCTGAAGGGCTGTAGTTTAAGGGCATAATCTCTCTTTCCCCTTGTCCATTCTTCTGTATCCTTATAAAACTCCCTCCACCCCCCAACTTTCTTTAAGATATTCCTTCCCCCCCCCCCCCCCCCCCCTCTTTTCACAGATTAAAAGAATAACAAAGAATATGTCAATAAGGTAAACATGGGCATAAACATAAAATATTATATAATAACTCCACCCTAATCATAAATTTCAAGAGTTAAATAGGGTATAGCTTAATGGTTTCTTGACTTTCCCCAGCAACTTAATTCTCTAAAAACCAGAGACAATTGCCTCGTATATGGAGGAGGGAGACACCCTAATTAGGGTAAAATAAGAGAGAGAGAGAGGAGAGAGAGAGAGAGAAGAAGGGGGGGGGGGAACAAAAGTAAACAAGATAAGGATCATACCAGAGGAGAGAGAGAGAGAGAGAGAGAGAGAGAGAAGGGGGGGAGGGGAACTAAAGTAAAACAAGATAAGGCATCATACCAGCAGGTCATATGATAGCAACCTTGGGTGAGCTCAATCATCCTGCGGCATTGTTGGCAACGCCTCCACCTTTTATTTTGTGCTAGACGATGCAAGGTAATGTCTGCAGCATCTCTCTCTTCCAATGGGAGGTTCTGGAACTCTTCACAGCTCATCAAAGAATGCCAAGGAACAGCACATTCCACACAGATAAACCTTTGACAAACAGGGCAGTCAACACAACTGTTATCAGACTGACTTGATGAACTTGCTCTAGCTGACAGACACTCGCGTGGATCAAGCAGGGCAGAACAATTTGGATAGGGGCAGTATATCCTATCTGAGTGGAGAACATCAGCTTCTGCGAGAGCTTTCTCCAAACATTCATATGAAGTGAGAGGCAGAAAAGATCTGCATTCATTGCTGGAGATGAAATATTTGCATCCTAACTGAGGGCATCTGATCGGTACTTGAGATGACTGTACTTTTCCGTCAACATAGGTTCTCATACAATGTGAACAGAATTTGTGGGAACATTTCATTGTGATCATCATTGGCGATATCTTTTCCTCACAACAGATAGAGCAGTTGTCACGTGCTTCATTTCCATTTGCAGGAAAAGACACAACCCCAATTGCTACCTGGGCCAAACGCAATGGCCTCTCAAGATCTAAGCTGGGGATGAGTTTCAGTACAAAGGCTTCCAGATTACTGGCATGTTCAAGGATCCTTTGCCTCAGAGCAATCAGAAGTGGAATTTCAACTTTCTCCCCATGTGTTATCTATCAAAATAAAACACCACTATAATCGCTTGGAAAGCATAAAACAAGAAGACATAAGACATTGAAGTAACAAGAGATTATGAAAAAAAGGCAAATTGATACCAAAAATACATAAATCCATGTCAGCTAACTCCAATTACTTCAAATCACAGAAATTTTTCCACAAGGATAAGTAGTCATGTAAAATAAAATTATGAAAAATTTTCATTAATAATACTCTGGAACGAGCATATTGCCAACTGGTACCTACCCCCTTCTTGCTTCCACCAACTTAATACTATAACAACTATAGGAAACAGTTGATAAATAACAAAAAGAAATGGATGGAAAGAAAAAAGGACAGGGAACCTTATATGGAAGATGGAAAACCAAAACAGAAAAGATATTTTAGATTCTATAATTCCAAATGAAAGCAAGCTAAACTACAGAATTCAGAAGCCTACAATAAGGAGAGTCTTTCCTCTTGCAACAAACTTCTAAAAATAGAACAGCAGAAGGCACAAAACCGATAATAGATACGAAAGAAATATGGTATATTCTTCCAAAATTCCCCCCTTCCTCTATCTGTAGGGCTGAAAGTACAAATGAAAATAGACATTGTAATCTCCATTTGAATTTTTTTTTTTTTCTTGCTTTCATGATTTCATAAAATATCACGTTGTTATATATCATCATCAATTGATATATAAGTGTAAGTATTACTATGAGTTTATATTTGAGGAAAATAAAATTATGAAATGATATACCTCAAACGATAAATAAGTTGTTATATATTTATACAAGTTAAAAATATGACATAGAACTATTTCAGTAGAGAGATTTTTATAATGTAAGAAAATATGCTATGAAATAACACCAAAATTTTACATATAGAAACAGTAGCTCTTCATTTGATTACATAATTTTCAGTAAAATGACAAAACAAAATATAAAACTTGTCTGATGAGAAACTCACCTGATCACATAACAGTTCGGAATCAGTAAATGCATAAACTCGGCGGATGTCATGCTGTAAAGCCTCAGCCAGTCCATCCATGAGAGCCAAATAGTCAGCAACAGATTCTTCAACATGGAAATCCAGCTTCTTTTGTACCTGAATCACAGGAACATTTGCTATTCTTTCCATTACAATACCAATTCCAGAAAATCCACAACCAGAGTCCCCTGCCTCTGCTATAGAGATGCCCTTAAAAAACATCTTAACAGAAAATTCATCAAGTTTTTCGTTTTGCTCCTCCCTTACTATTTCTTCAGGCTCCTTCCACACTTCCTCATCTTCACAACAACTCCGAAACTCTTCCTCATCTTCTTCCAGTTTTATTTCACTGACCAAATCCACCGAGGCCACATCATCAAAAGCAGTCTGATTCTCCATTTTCACCACCAGTCTCTGAAAAACTCCCACCTCAGGTATGAAGACTTCCAAATATGATTGTTACCAAACTCCAAGTCAAACCCACCAACGCATTAGCCTGCAATTCTCTGCCTCAGCTTCTATTCCTTCACAAATCACAAGAAAAAAAAATTACATCAAAATGCAAGCTTTTAGCTCCTTCAAAGATTCAAAACTGAAACCCAAGCGAAACCCACCAAACAATTTATTCAAAACTTCAGAATCTAGCACATATTTCCACTAAAATTACCAGAAAATAGATGCATATCAAACAATGATCATACTGCTGCTGATTCTGAACTAAAATCTGAAACATACCCATCGACAGATCAAACAAAATCTCATGTTATCATTTAATTACTTCCGGAAACAAAAAAACATGTGATCTTTTGGCGCCTCAACATCAATCTCCGTTTTTGATACCAAAAGAAAAAAACATTAATATATCTAAAATAAATGGAAAACCTACAAAAAAAAATAAAAGCATCAATTTAAGACAAGAAGTGAAGGTTCCATACCATGATGGCGGTGGGTTATCGGACCTCAATTTCAGACAAGATGGAATTTTAATCTCTGATGATTCCTTTGTGTGTCTGTCTAAGTATACCAAAAAAACCCTAATCTGACAAATTAAATTTTCATTTTTATATTTTTATTTGGATGAAAACATATTATGTGTTGAAGAGAGAGAAAGCGAAAGAAAGAGAGAGGTAAAGGCTAAACAGTTACCACTTACTACTGTTGGTCTTCTATTAATGGATGAATTATTATTTAGTCCTTGTAGTTTTATAGAATTCATAAATTAAAATCTGCATGTTAAAATATTAATTAAATGGTCTTTTCATTTATAAATTAAAATTGGTGATATTTAAGATTAAGTTTTTTGTCATGTGCAAAAGAACATTTAAAAAACTTTGTTAGTAAAAATTGATATTTAGCATAATTTAACAGAAGAATTAAGAAAATTAATACTTGATAGAATAATATAATAAAACAAAGAGAATGTTTAATTATTTTTAAAAATAAGTTCTGATTTATTAATTTTATAAGGACTAAATAGTAATTCGTCTTTATTAATAATGTGCAAGAGAAAGGAAACGCGGTTGCTTTGCTGGCATTCTTGCTTGTTCTTTGACTTTCTTTTGCATGCAGTTAAGGTTTTTACTATTCTCTATATTCCTTTATTATTTAAAATATTGCCATGCTGTAATATTTAATTTAAAGAAAGTGTTCAAACTCGTTTATGTTTAACTTAAAATAAAATAAAATCATGTTTTTCACGAGAAGTTTAAGGAGGTTTATTGGATTAAGAGTTTATTTGATTTTAAAAGATTTTAAAGTTTTAATGGTATTCAATTTAGATTCTTTTAATGTCTATTAAAATTTTATGATATTCGATTCAGACTCTTATAAAATTCATAAAAATTTTATAGTATTTAATTACGACTCTTATAAAATCTATAAAAATTTTATGGTATATTCAATTACAACTTTTTAAAAATTCTTACAAATTTGATGGTATTCAAAAATTTATTGATTTGAAAGGATTTTATAAAAGTATTAATTTCGTTGGATTTTAGAGTGTTATAAATAAATAAAATAGCCATTCACAAATTCATCCTCCAATCCAAAATTTCAAAAATCTTTTAAAATCTAACAGACTCTTAGGAGGATGTTTTGGATTAAAAATCTATTAGATTTTAAAAGATTTTAAAATTCCAGTGGTATTCAATTTAGATTTTTTTTATAGTCTATTAAAATTTTGTGATATGCAATTCAGACTCTTATAAAATACGTAAAAATCTTATGGTATTCAATTACGATTTTTAATTTTATATCTTATTTTAAAATTAATATGCATTTATAATAATTATCTATATCTATATTTCAATTTAAAATTTTGAATTTTCTTTTTTTTTTTATAAGAGCACTTCACGCACTTTTTTTCTAAATTTAAAGTTTAAAATTATTATTTATTTAAAAATATCTATACATATTTTTGAATTTTTGAATTTTTTTTTGAATTGAAAGTTTAATTTTATTTTTGTGTCCATTTATTTGTAATAATTTTTATTTTTATATCTATATATGTTTATTATCATTGTATTTTTTTATTCTTTTGTTCTTAGCTTATTTGTAAAAACAATTCAACTAACGGTTATTGTTACATTTATTCTATTTTAGGTTATACTTATGTCTTTTATAATTGTTTTTATTTGTTTGTTTTCATTTCTCTAAAGCTGTAGAATGTAGTTTTTATAAATATTTATTTTTATATGTATAATAGAAAAAGTAACTTCTAATGTAATGTACAATAATAAAGTAATACAATAATCCACACAAAATGCGGATTTCCATCTAGTATATATATAATACTGGAGGAAAAAAAATTTTCAAAAAGCTTATTTGATACTCTCTTCTTTGAGCATTATTTTCTTTTTCTACAAATTTTTTAATTTTTAAATATTTATTGTCACATATCTAATCTAAAATATACTTATATTATATCTAAAATTTTAAATAATTAATATTTTTAAATTTTTAAATTTTGAAGTTAAAACTTTTAAAACTCTTGAACTTTTTTTTATATACTTATATCTATCTATATATACCTCTGTATATCTATCTATATATAAAATTTTGAAGCAAAAAAAATTTTTAAAAATACTGATGTGGCACTCACTTTTTTAGTGTTCTATTTTTTTTCCTTTTTAGAACTATTAAATTTTTAAAGTTTAAATTTTAAAATTTTTGAGTTTTTTTCTCATCTTGTATCCGTATACATATATCTATTCAATATTTTTCTTTCATAATGACTTTTTTTTTTTTAAAAAAAAAATTTTGTTGTTCCTTTCAATTATTTTGCTTTCAATTCTCCTTCTTTCAATTTTTTCGCTTTCAATTCTCTAGGTTTTGATTGTATTGTGAAAATATCTTAATTTTATTTTTTTATTTTGATATAAATATATTATTGTCGTTTTCATTTTTTTTTTTTGAAATATATATTATTGTCATTTTTTTTTTTGAATAAACCGACAGTATCTAGACCTTATCCATTATCAGGGATCACCTAATCCGGCTTAAGGTTTAGTCACAATTAAGGCTCTCGCCCTTCCCTGCATGTGCATTTAGTAGAGATCGAATCCAAAAGTTCTTTCCATATATCCAGCCTGCATTGCCAACTGAACTATAACTCATCAGTTTGTTATATATATATTTTTCTGTGTTTTGCAATAATTAAATTATATATAATATATTTCTATATAGTACTCTATTAAATTATTTGAATCATAAAAATTTTATAGAATTATCTATGGTGTTTAAATTGTTTAAATATTTATATAAAATTTTATAATTATTTAAAATAAATTAATAGGATTATAATTTTTATAATATAATAATTGAATAATACAACTTGCGAGAAAATGGATCTTTTAATAATATACTAAATACAATTTATAAAATATAATGTACAACAATAAAGCAACCAATCGGTCAAATTGCAGGTCTTCAACTAGTATACATATAAGTTTGAAGCAAAAAAAATCTCCAAAAAGCTTTATCGACACTCTCTTTTTTGAGCGTTTCTTTTTGTTTTTTTCTACAAATTTCTAATATATATATATATAATCCTGAAACAGAAAAAAATTCCAAAAAGTTGAGCTGGCATTCTATTCATTCAACATTCTCTTTTATTTTTTTTTAGAAAATTTTGACATTTTTTGTTTATTTTTCTGCATTGTGATTGGACACTTTTTTAAATATTTTTTAAAAAATTAATTTTTATAAAAGATGTGTAGGTAATTATAATTATAATTTTTTATTTTGTTTAGTATTCTGTTACACAACTATCTATTATCTTATCTGTTAAATAGATATATACATAGTGATCTCTTCTCTTCGATCACAAAATCTTGTTCCAAAGGGAAACAGACGTTCATCAGGTTTGATTCTTCTTTCTTCCATATTTTAGATTTCCATTATCACACTTTGATGCTCAGTAATTTTGTTTTTATGCTTGAATGAATTGTTGTTCATATAAAATAAAATTAATTATTGTTTTCTTGATTTGGAATCTTTGAGCAGTTATGGCCTAAGTGATAACTAACGAAACAAATTTTATGGTGGCTGTTAAATTGAACCAGAAGAGTCCCAATTGTAAATCAAAATGTGGCTGAAAAGTCAATTCTTCACGGGATATTTCTACTCAAGCAAAGACACAAAAAGGGTATTTAAAATTGTCAAGCTCAGATTCTTTTACTTGACTTTATAGTTAACGTATTCTTAGTTTGATTTTTTAAAAATCTATTCCCTCTATGATTGATGGCCTGAAGCCAATTATGTTTCAAGAGGAATTTGGTCAAGCATATTAAAATTTCTTAGTTTCAAATTTATGTATCTAATAAGTCTGCTTAGGTGATCTTCAAATATTATGATTGTGTTTTAGTTTTTTCTCATTTTTATTTTATTTTTATTTTGCGTGTCGTTATGTATCTGAATTGATTGCGAGCCATCTTTAGCCTTTGATTATAAATAAAATAACTATTATAAAACTTTTATGTTCTTTTATCACATATTTATCAAGCATAGAGAGGGAAAGTCGGCTAAATATAGAAATAGGACACTGAGTTAGTAAACTAAACAAAGTTTTAAATTAGTTTTAGTTAGGATGCTTAAAAAAAAAAAACATTAGTTTCTATCTTTTTATTATCTGTTATAGATTAATTTTGTTAAGTTTTTGTACAATTTTAAACTTTTCATGTTTGAACTTATTTTTAATTGTCATAAAAATGTATCACTATGAAAAATTGAATAATCAAAAGTTTTAAAAAAATTTTAAATAATCGTTCATCTTAAAATAATTGGAAAGTTGACTCTTTCAAAGAGAGTCCAAAATTTATTTATAATTAATAGATATATATTCAACATTATTTTTTTAAAATTTATTTTTTTTACTTTTCTATATTTTATTGGATTTTATTTTGTAAAAATTTATTTCTTAATAGATATATAGATAATTTCCTTTCAATAGATATATAGATACATTATTTTTGAATTTTTTTTCTTATACGTTTCTATATGCATATATCTATCTAATAAAAAATATTTACTATATACAAATAGCGCCAATTATTTATGGACCGGTAACTACTTTCCTTTCATATATTTACTGCATGGTAAAAGACATGATACAATAGGGTCAATTATTTCCATATTCTTTTTTTTTTTTTTTTTTGGTCAATTATTTCCATATTTCTTTTTTTTTTTTTTTTTTTGGATTTTTTTTTTTTTTTTTTGGATAATAATTATTTCCATATTCAAATACCTACTATGTTGGCCTGCATAAGAGAAATAGATTAAGGTGGTGACGAAGTTCTAGGACGTGGGATCCATTATCGTATATTTAGCGGGATAAGGAGTCTTTATTTTTTATTTTTTATTTTTTTTAAAGTTTATAAAATTAGTGCTTGTATTAGTGTTTGTATTTTCTTTTAAGTAAGTTTCGTGTTTAGTAAATGTAAGTTAGAAATTAGTAATGAAAGAATGGTAAAAGGATTTGATTAGTAAACATGAATATTTAAATAATGCAAGGTAGAATAAGCAGAAATTAAGAATTTAATCTTATAATTATAGAACATCATTTATATCCTTTTATATATATTCTTAAGGGCTTTGAGAGGTTTGGTGACATCTAATAGAGGATTGAGAAGTTGAGAAATGATTTGCTATAAACAGATGAACTGTGAGTAGTGCTAGATAATTCACATTATTCACTTGCATTTTGCATTTATGCATACACGACTAAATGGTAGATGTGCATTTCTTGGTAAATTACTATTTGTGTTTCATTATTTGCTGCTATTGGATATTGCTTAATTAGTTGTAATGTGCTACATATATGCCTTGCTTGTGTGGAATTGGAATGAAGTAAGTCACCATTGGGTTTGTGAGGGTAGTCCATGATACTGTCGGCCATGTATGGGGAGATCGGCGTCCATGTGTGCATCTGATGAAAAATGATATGGATGATATAGAAAACCACAGGGTGACCTCCTATTGGTATGAAAAGAAATAAGAGTATAAAAGAAATGAGAAGACTGGTCAAATGAGGTTGAGACCGGTCAAGTGAGGTTGAGACCGGTTGGCCATGTAAGGGGATCGGCTCCCTGGTGCACAAGTGATGAAAGGGCAGGCCATGTATGAGGATAGCTCGTAGGGAATTTTGGTGACGTTACTGACCAATTTCCACTTGATGTGGTTAGTTGAAGGTGTTAATAGTTGTGATTGTTGTTGTTATGTAATTGGTGTGATTGACAACATGATCATATAACTAGTCGGATGGCTAGATTGATTTACATACGCATTTGTGTGATTGTATGGGGTGAGGGTTATCTAATCTTACTCACTAAATTTAGGCGCTCATCCTTGCCTTAATATTTTTTCAGGTTACAGATCTTTCAATAACTCATTGTCCGTCACCTGTCTAGACGATACCTCCATAAATCTTGTAAAATTTTTTTAAGTTCTTAGATTGTTTCACAATTACGATAGTATAAAATTATTAATGTATTACTTATTAAAGTTCCTATTATGTAACATATTAATATAGCTTAGAGGATTTTGAAAATTGATATTATTGAATATGATGATGCGGGCCAAGCGAGCCCAAGACTTATGTTAGTTGAAAATTATTGACATTGGCCTAAGGCTGTTTCTATTGAACAGAAAATTTATTTAGTATTTATTTGACTTATTACGAGCTTTGGTGACTTTAACTCTACCTAGATCCTAGTGCCGGTCCAGTCCCAGATAACAGGTCGTAACATAAATATATATTTGGATTCTCCAATTGCTAGGTTAATATATTATATACAATTCAAGTTACTAGTCAATAGATTAGGGAGAGAAATATAAGTATAATATATTTCTTATTTATTTATTTATTTATTATTATTATATTATTTTTTATCATTTACATTAAAGAGAAATTTCTTTACTATCTATATATATATATATATATATATATTCAATAAATACATTGAAAATAATAAAAATATCTGATAAATTAAAAAAATAAATACATTTAATAAATTAAAAAGAATTCAGATATCTTATCATTTATAGTTAAAACAATGTTCTTATCATTTAAATTTAAATTTTATTATTTAATTATTAAAAAATTATATCAAATAATTATATATTAAAAATGAATAATTCATTTACAATAATTATCTATATCTATATTTCAATTTAAATTTTTTTATTTTTTATTAGATCACTTAACATACTTTTTAAGTTTAAAAATTATTACTTATATAAAATAATTAATGGATTATTTAATTTTTTGTGTCCATGTATTTATAATAATTATCTAATTTTTACATCCATATTTCTTTATTATTATCTTTATAGATGAAAATTTTTGTACATTTTTTAAATTTATAATTTTGCCAAATTTATAATTTTTTGTACATTTTAAAATATATTCTTTATTATTATTATCTTTATTATTATCTACCATCCTATTTTAAAACCATCCATTTTACAAACACACACACAACACACACACACACACACACACACACACACACACACACACACCACACACATATATATATATAATATATAATATATATATATATATATATATATATTATATGTTTTATAATTTTTTATTTGCTTTTTTTCATTTCTCAAAAGTTGTAGGATTTTTTTATAAATAATATATTTTTATATGTAGAAGAAAAAAGTAACTTCTAATACAATGTATGATAGGTGTTATTTTTATAGTATTTTAATATAGTTTTTATTAGGATTTTTAGTATTTTTAATTGCTTTAATTATTTTTTAATTAGTTTTATTTCTGTTTTTGTTCAAAGCTTCCTTGAATCATAATTCACTTAATCTTAAGGAAATTTATAGGGTTTAGGACTAGAAAAGAGCACAATAAAGCACAACACTCAGGCTCTAACATGCCCTGCCCGTTCACATCAGCAAGCCTGTGCTGGATTTAAGAAAAATCAAGTGGAGACTCAGATTCTAGCACGCCCAAGCTGTCCTATATGGCACGCCCATGCCAAAAGAGGACATCAACCCAAATGCGTGCTTGCTTAAGCACGGCTCGTGCTGCATCTCATCCTGGAGACTCAGAGCCCTCAGAGCCTAGCACGCCCTAGCTGTGCTATGTGGCACGCCCGTGCCACAAATTCTTATCTAGGCGTGCCCCTAAGCACAACCTGTACTGAACCTTCCTTAGAACTCAGGCTCCGGCACGCTCTGACCGTGCCATACAACATGCCCATGCTGCGAATCAAGTGCTGTTTTGTGTCGAGAACGCCAACCAGTCCCTATCACTTACATGGGCCCACATGAGATATTTTCTTGACATGCAAATCAAGTTCTAATCCTATTTAGACGCATGGAAGAGTCCTAATTGAGAAGAAATTCAAAGCCTAAACAGTTTCCTACTTCCAAAAAGATTTCTTACTTAATGAAGACTCTATTTCCTAAACGAAAAACGAAGTCGGATTTTCCCAGAAAATCATATTAAGAGAGGAGCCATTTCATTGTAGAGATATCTCTTAGTTTTGGATATTATTTTGTTCTATTGTACTTCTCTCTTCTTCAAGACTTCAAGTGTCAAGATTTGTACCAAGATTTCAAGGAAGCCGTCTAGAATAATTATTGACTAGGTTTTATCTTCTAAACTCTTAATTTATTTTAATCTTTCATTATTCTGTTGATTTATGGAATTTTTATTCAAGTATTATTGGTTTTATTTAATTTACTATTGTCGAACTAAACTCTCATACTAGGGATTTGACTGTAGCTTACATTTCTTTTCCAATTTAATATTAGATTTGTTTTTCCCTTTAGTTCAAGTATAATTATTATTAACTTAAGTCCAGGCAATGTTTCTCCCCTAGAATGGTTATTCATTAATCACTATCGGGAGAGGGTTTTTGAATAATGAAAAAAGGTAATAAATTACATGAAATAATAACTTGATGCGGAAGCTATATGGTTTGACTCATGGAGGGCTTTCATTAAGTTAATGACCTATAGGTTTTCTGAATTCACAAAACAACCATAAAACTTAATGATTTAATTCATGTTGAATTGCACTATTGGATAGGTAATTAGACCAGGTTAAAATAGCTAACAATACATCGGGAGAGCTTGTTAGTAATTTTAGGGTTGTTTCCCCTATTTGAACAATTAAAATTAATTAATGAACTAATAAAATAAATTGGAAAAAATTAAGTGAAGTCAAAAACCCTAGTAGCTTTTAATCTTTGATTCATTGAGCGAGTTAGTTTGATTGTTAATGAGGTCAAAGAAATCTGTTTAATATTAAATGGCATGTGAAACACATGTGATGAGATGATTTTTTAATCAAAAAAATTGCCTTGCTTTCTTCTTATTTTCTTTTATTTACTGAAGTTAGTTTCTTAAAATAATTTCTCTAAATCGTCGTTTAAATAATAATAGGTTAACATAATTTTGATACTTGGTATACAATCCCTGTGGATACGATACTCTTCTCATTCTATATTACTTACTTGTTGCGATTTCGTACACTTGCGAAAAAACGCTGTCAAGTTTTTAGCGCCGTTGTCGGGGATTGGCGTATCAATATCAATACGAATTACCCTATTGTTAATTTAGACATTCTTTTATTTTATTTAATTTAATTTTTCTGGAAGATTATTTCAGTGTTTATGCAAAGAAGATCAGGTAGAACTGAGCCCTTGATCTTTGATCTAGAAATCGAAAAGACTTGTCGTAGGAACAAGGCTACTAGAAGAGCACATGAGAACAAACCAGAACAGTAAGCAAACATGGACGATGAAGTTAACCCTCAGGACGAACCTCAACCTCATGTCCGCACCTTGCGAGATTACACAACACCTTCTCTCACTAGAACAACCTCGAGTATCACTGGACCTAAGGTGGAAGCTAACAATTTTGAAATTAAACCTGCAATTATCCAAATGCTTTCCACCTTAATTCAATATGGAGGTTTACCTAGTGAAGATCCCTTTCCACCTTAATTTCAAATAACCTGCAATTATCCAAATGCTTTCCACCTTAATTCAATATGGAGGTTTACCTAGTGAAGATCCTAATGCCCATATCACAAATTTCTTAGAGAGTTGTGATACTTTCAAACAAAATGGAGTTTCCGAGGATGCCATAAAATTAAGACTCTTTCCTTTCACTGTTAGGGACAAAGCACGATCTTAGTTACAATTATGCCCTGCTGGAAGTTTTATAACATGAGAAGAATTAGCCCAAAAATTTTTAGCAAAATTCTCTCCATCTTCAAAAACCACAAACTGCGGAACGAGATAATGACCTTTGTCCACTATGATCAAGAGAGTTTGTACGAAGCTTAGGAGAGATTCAAGGACTTATTGAGAAAGTACCCACATCACAACTTGCCTAAGTGGTTACAGGTTCAAACTTTTTATAATGCATTATCTCCTAACATTAAAATTACTCTAGATGCAGCTGCAGGTGGATCTTTTGAAAGAAAAGAAATTGACGAGAAGAAAAGAAATTGACGAGGCAATGACTTGATAGAGGAGATGGCTAGCATTAGCCATTATCAAAGCAACTCCGAAAGGAAGAAGACTGCAGGAGTTTATAAGATTGATGCCATCACCGCACTTAATGCCAAGGTAGACAATATGGTAAGGAAGTGGGACTTATTGACTACTAACTCAGTGAATTCTATTGTGCAAGCTTGTGACAGGTGTAATGGACAACATGGGATTAGGGAATGCATGTTAGATTCTTTAAATCCATAAACTTTGGAGCAAGTGAACTATGTGATGAATCAAGGAAGGAAGAATTACCTGTGCTCTAACTCTTATGATAACAGGTTAAGGAATCACCCTAATCTTTCATATGGGAATCCAAAAGGTTAAGGAATCAACCGCTAATCTTTTTCATATGGGAAATCCAAACAACGCCTTGAATGCACTAACACGAGTTTATTCTAACTTAAGAGAAAAAGTCTTATGATGCTCTCCTTACCGCCTCGATCTAAATCCACACAGGACTTCATGAATGAAACCCAAGAAAACAAACAAAATTCCAACAAGCTGACGATAAAAAGGAACTTGGAGATTCAAACTAGGGCAGTTTGCAACATAATGGCCTCCCCTAAGGTACGTTACCTAGTAATACTGAAAAAAATCCTAAAGAATAGGTACAAGCTATCACCTTGAGGAGTGGCAAACAGTTGGAGGAACCAACCAAGACAGAGAAGAAGAAGGAAGAACAGAAAAAAATCCCCATCATTGACCTAGAAGAGAAAGAGGAAGTAAAACCTTATGTTCCACTTGTCCTTTTCGCACAAAGGTTAAAGAAAACACAAGATGATAAAAGTTTCCTCAAATTTCTTGATGTCTACAAAAAGCGTCAAATCAACATACCTTTTGCTGAAGCTCTTGCTCAAATGCCCAGCTATGCAAAATTCCTAAAAGAAATCCTGAGCAAGAAAAGGAAAAGATTGATGATCAAGGAATGGTAATGTTGACAAACGAGTGTAGTGCAATTATTCAAAATAAATTACCTCCAAAATTAAAAGATCCAAGAAGTTTTTCTATCCCTTGTAATATTGGAAATCTTGATTTTGAAAGAAATCTTGATTTTGAAAAAGCATTAGCAGATTTAGGTGCTAGCAATT